CAGCCATTTCATTGTCAAGGCACGGCTGTAGGAACCAGCCGAACCAAAGGCGTTAATGGCCAAATTGTGTAATTTCTGTGGCTAAAATTGTGTGGTGTGAGCCACGTTCAGATGCTTGCCGAATGTGGCTTACAGTTACCGTTACATATACAAATTGCTGCTAGTTAACCGCAAGCTCCACCACTCGCTCACTGATTATTTACTTAAATGAAATTACCAAACTGCCCTCCCCCCCTAGCTTGCTCCTCCCCGCCGCGGCGACCTTGTCGCAGGAAGTTGAAAATTGTAACGCTGATAAAAATCGTATCGAGAGCTGCCTGTGCTTCCGCCAGACAACTGAAGAAGTTGGTGGTTCACACGCCACACATTCAGAATTCTCGATTCTGTATTCTCGATGCTCGATTCTCGGCACTCATTTAATTGAAATCAAGTGCAGTGAGGCCCTATCGGCCACAAATGGCTCTGGCTGGCTAAATCTGGTCAATGGCCTCAGGCCCCTAACGAAATGTGTGGCTCGCGTGGGTTAAATCAAAACAAACTAAGTGGCTCTGTGCGCTGCTTTAAGAATTATAAATGTGCTTTTCATTTTTTTTTCTATTTATTTTTTTTTTTGTTTTGCTATGATCATAACTCTGGGCTCTGTCTCCAAGTCATGGTCAATTTATCATACGCAGTTTTGATTTGAGCTTCGAGTTGAGCTCTTTACACCAACAACAGAACATCCATTTCTGTGTGTTTTGTTATTTTCTTTTTGACAAATTGATGTACGACTGGGGCGTCTTTGGTGGGCCGAAACGAAAGTCGACGCTTCTCAGCAGGCTGCCATTGCTTATTTATGGCCAAAAGGCAGCATATGGCACAAAGGCGATGCGGACATGGTCTGGGCGGCTTCTAATTGTGTCACTGTCGAAAGTTTGGCCAAAAATCTGCCTGAGAATCGTGTGTGGACACAGATTCATCCTGTTGCCACTCGCACGCAGCCGCATCGTGTGGGCTGCTTAACCCGCAAGTTCGTGATCTCTAACTCGCGTAGTTGTTCTTCAAGTGGCTATGAAATTCCACAGCTACGCAGCCAACACACACACACACACATACACTTAGCGGCTGCTTAGCCACATCTCCATATCGGTCAATGGTCAGCGGCTGTTTGGCCCAGGCAAATAAGCCAGCAACTACTACGTCAAGTTTGACTACGACTGACTTCAAAGTATGGGCTATTGGTATGTGGCTATGCTACAGGTACCGAGAGAGAGAGGTACAGCCATGGCCATAAGTATATGCACAGGTACAGACAGTGTCAGCGTGTTTGCATACGAAATATTTACGATCGCCAGCAGCCACGCCTGCTTCAAGTGCCACATACCGTTGGCCATGTGCTTATCAAGCAGCTGATAAGCCGGCATAGCACTTGACATTGAACCTGGTCGGGTGTAGCTGGCCAAAATGTTAATTATATGCGCGTGGCTAAGCTGCTGAGGGGCCAGCAAAAAATCTTGATTAAAGCCGCTGCTGCGGCTGCTGCTGCTGCTGCTGATGATGCTGGCATGTGGCTGATATCATCGGCGAGCGCTCATGCAATTAATACTTGAGCATAATAATGATGTTTGCCTCAACCCAAGCCTGTCTAGAAATTTCCGTCGATAGTTGGGCATAGTTTGGTCAGATGCTTCGCGCTTAAAAAGCCACCTAATACAGGCTAATTAAGCGCGGCAAGTGGCTATAAAACCCCAAAATGCCATTTGACTTCCGCAACTCACGACTTTAGTTAGCCATAAACAGGCGATTTATATGCGCAATAAACCAAAAAAAACATATATATATATGAACAAAAAATATGAAGTTCCAGCCCGAAACGTACTAATGCTTTTGTAATTGGTTATAAATTAAGCAATCAGTTAAGCATCATTAAAACTTTATATAAAATATGCTTACAGACGAGTTACCATCTTCTGACTGCTCCATCGCACCATGATGAAGTACTTTAAAAACATAAGCCTTCTAGCATTGATCAATTGTGGTGTCTCCAATTAGAAGCAGCCATGCCCAAAACTCAAGTTCAGTGACTGTGACTTATCAGTTTTGTACGCCACATACTATAAATATGTACGACTTGGAGCATGAGTACTTTCATTGGTGTCAATTGCCCAGCCTCCAGATTCCAGCTCCAGCTGCAGCTCAACCTCCAACTCCAGCTTCAGCAGCAGCAGCAGCAGTTAAGTACGAAGTGAGGAATCGTCAAGCAGATGCCAAAAAAAGAACCAACACCTGTAGCTCACAGCCATGTGAACAAAAAAACGGGAGAAGCAATCTGATACTTGCCGAAGATCTAATACCCTTTCGCATATAATTCAATTGTAATTCAATGTATATTGTTGACCATTTAATGTAACAGCATATAACCTGAGTAGTAATAATACTACAAATATTTGTTATGTTTCATAATTAAATCTCCAAGTCTAAGATACAAGAGTAGAAATAGAGACATGACTGATAAGTAACTATAAACAGATCCGTTTTAAAATACGAATTCCAATATTTTATTATACAAAATGAATTGGTGTAAATAAGTATCAATATTAAATATTCATATTACATAATCCGAACCTTAAGGCGAAGCATTGGTGCGAAACGTCCACCGATAAACAGCTTTACACATACCCTAGCAAAACTTGAATACCCTAAGCGGGTTTATCAAAAACAATAAAAAGGAACTCGAGCTCGAAATTTATTGATGAAAACGCCCCACGAAAATAAGCGAACAGCCAAAAGGCAGAGATGAGGCGGGAGCCAAGTAAAGCTTGAGTCTGAATTTTGCCGTCTGCTTTTTATGGCTTATAAAATCATAATAATGTGTTGCGGCTACCGGAGCTGCTGACAGACGATGACGACGACGACGGCGACGACGGCAAACAGTGGGACTGCGACTGCGACTGTGCCGTGCGCTGTTGTTGGTCCATTAACTTGGCCGGCAGTTGATGCGACCAATCGAGCGCCTAACTGATCGACCTTGAGCTTGAAATCAAACTTGAACTTGGCAGCTTAAAAATTGCATAAGGCGCCCGCGGCTGGCGGGTTGACTGCGTTTGGGCTTCATTTTTTAATGGGTGGCACTTGGCCAAGACACGATATGTTACCAATAGCTTGAGCTCAAAACAATTGCCAATTGGCAATTGGCATTTGACTGGCCTTTTGTCATGACGCAAAATGCCACTTGTTGTGAAGTATTTGAACATGTTTCGACTTTTTGCCGATTTGCGCATATTAATCATGGCTCTAGCAAGTACTCGATTCACTGGCTATATTGATTTATATGTGGAATACGGCGGGCAGCTGTCGAGATACAAATGTATCTCGCAGATACAAACAAGTGTTGAGTCATGAGCACGGTGTTATGTGTGTTATGTACTCATGCATGTATTAATTTAATAATGGAACAATTCAATTACCACACCATGCTGTGAAATTCTTGTAAGGCCAGTTCTGAGCTGCGGACTCTCTGCAAGTTCTGTAAGTTCATCAAACTCAAGTGTTGAACTCCACGGGCAGCCATAGCGTCCATTGAGCTGTTTTGTTTGCTTGTTAGTGTAACAGATTGTGCGTGTGTGCATGTGTGTGTGTTCGAGTGTGTGTGGCAGACAATACCCATAAGTAGGTGAGAAAAGTGATAGAAGAGGCGCATCGATCTAGCTATAATCGGTTCTCAGCTCACACGCTTCAAGCTCTTTTTCGGCCATTCACAAAAATGTTCTTAACTGCGTTTTTCTTATTTTCCGCCTTTAATAATTTCTTTTTGGGTAGTTTTCCCTATTGCGGCGCCTTAGCGGGAGGAGACGAGTGTGGCATGTGTTAATGAAAATTCCAAGAAGTCAATGCTGTATCAAGCATTCGAGCGGTGCTAAATGTGGGTCAACAAGACCGAATGACTGACTGACTAACTGACTGCCTGACTGACTGTTTGACTGACGGGCTCGTACTGTTGTCGCATATCGTTTTGACTAGGCCAAATCAGTCAGAGGCAGCTGCAGTTGTTGCCTGTTTATTGAATGCCCATTAAAGAGTGCCACAATGTGCTGCGGCTGGAATTTAGTGTTTGGGCCTTGGTTATAGGTTTTGGTTTGGGTTTCGGTTTTGGTTTTCGTTTCAGTGTTTGCATGTGATTACTGCTGGCAGTGGAAGCAGCAGTGCAAGCACCCAGCGCTGACCGATATTCTGCAGTCTGCAGTCATGAGAAATGGTATTTCGTTTGCCACTCTTTACCATTTTTGGGTTTATTTGCCATAAAGTTTTGTTTAAGCAAGTCGTTAAATTGTACAAAGACAACTCCATAGCGCTAGGCCAATGGGCCATTTTATAGCTGCACCTTCCAGCGCTGGGATATGGTGAAAGCTAACACCTCGCTCGGGCAGATGCATCTAAAATAGGCGTTTGGCCCACCCATTTGCCGAGTGTGGCCATTAGCACTCGGCCTTATTTATGGCAAGGGTCTGAATTTATTTTAGTATCTGTAGCCGTCTGTAACAGTATCTGTAACTGCAACACCCCCTAGATGGACGACGGTCAATGGCATTTTTGCCTTAATTTCAATTTCAATTTAAATGGAAACGCATGACTCAATTGAATTTTGGACACCCCACGTATTTCGCATGGCAAGTAATTGAATTATTTTTTCGCCAGCGCTAAATGCAACGCCGACCTTTAGGTTGAGGGGCACTGTGACCACCCCTGACCATGGACAAGTGTCAGTCGTGGCAGCTGTTGCTGGCTGATAGCAATTTGTCACAGAGGCCCAATGCCAAATGCTTTAATTAGCTCGACTTGCACCAAAATATCGACAAGTGCGCCTGAGCCTCAAAATGTGTGCGAAATTTATGGCCAAAATAATCAGAATAGACAGCGCATATGCGAGCATCTCCCACAAGAGTGGGATGTGGGCTGGTGGTTCAGCACTCAGATACTTAGCTGCCTAACTGTAATTTATGTTGACATAATAAACCACTTACCGGCTTGCGTTAACGCTGGCAGCACCAACAGCAGCATGGCCAGAGACATCAGCTCCTCGAGTCCCAGCGGACTCGAACGTTTTCTTGTCATCGCTTTGCTTGTGTGTGTAACTGCAATGGAACAGGGATACAAAAAATGAAGTTAAACAAAATATACTTTGGTATTGTGTCATCATTATATTCAACAAACGAATTGATCCATTAGACCTTTGACACTCGCCCGTTTAACCCTTTACAATGAATGGAAAGGAAAAAAACCACACACAACAATCAAATTGAGCCACAATATGTTTCTTAAACGACAGCACTTCATTAAAAAAGCATGACAGGGCACATGTCCTTATGTCTGTTCCCATATTTTTTTTTGTTAAAATTTTCAATAGCCTCAACTGCTCGACAAAAGCAATTTACGTGCACAAACAGCAAAAGAATTTCGGGTGGGTTGGGCGATTGTTGACAGTGAACTCCCACCACCACCACCAGCACCACCACCATACTACGGTCCGAACTCGGTGAGAATCGGAGTCGGCACCCCTCGAGCGTATGTGGGGGCAGATCCTGACTGGCTGTTTTTCTTCAATTGTTTGCGGAAATCACTTGTTTGCTGATTTGACAGATGTGCAATTTTCCCTGACATGGCTCGCAGGCTCGCAATTGTTGGCTGTCAGCGCGGGCCCCGTCTAAACTCCCAACCAAGAACAAAATGGTCCGAAAACCTTGTCATGTTGTGGCCCTGGACTTCAAATGTGGATATAGTTCTGTGAAGTTTCTGCTTCTTGATTGAAAATGTCAGCCACACGCCGAAAAACTTGTGTTACCCCCCGAACCAACTTATAATTAGCTGGGGCCCAACGGCTGACAACTGTATCTATATACGTTATGTACTTATCAGCACATAATGCCATAAAAAGACAGCAACAACAAATGGTAAAAGTTCTCGTCTCAGCGGTTCATATTTTCATTTATTAGCCAAGTTTTTTATTTGCTTTTATGCGCCTTTAATCAAGTCCCTGGAGATGCAACACGTGAGTACCACACCATTTCCATCGATGTGGGGGTTGCTTCAGCCAGACGTGCTAGCTGGGGTAGAGTGACAAGGGCGTGGCTGTAGGCGGGCGTAAGTTATACAATTTCATACATTCCCAACAAAAAAAGGCAATAAAAATAATAGCTCTATATACCATGGGACAAATGTGCGAAGTTGCTGCTCAGATTTGAGCAACTTTATCGATAACTACATATATCGAATGGCACCATATGATTTATCGATTGCTTTGGAATGTGCACATTAATTTGCAGCCGCTGTGCCACTGTGCTGAATGTGGGGGGTCACAATGACCCCTCGGCTGCTCTTCTTTCGAAATCCGAGTGGTTTCTGTTACACCCCTCACCTATCGGTGTGGTGTTGGGACAGAGGATGGGTGGGGGCAGTCGTGTCGTTTGCTCGCTAACGAAACAAGCAAATAAAATGAGCTAATGCCAGGCAGAGCGCGGCTCATCATAAATGCGCGAAATGTGCTCATTAAAATGCAGGGAAACGGCACAGGCACAGACCCCTACCTCCTCCACCTCCTCCTCCTCCAGCATGCCCCCTGAGTGCGAGTCGAAGTTAGAGTTGGAGTCGTAGTCCAAGTCGCAGTCCCCGGGAGCCACAAATTGCATTGCTGCGTGCTGTGGCAAACGACAATGTTAAAAGCAATAACAACAACAAAAACAACAACAGAAAGCTAGAAGAAGAAACAGCACAAGGTGTATGCAACACACGAAACCCGCCTCGACCAGGTTGAAAGATTGCTCCGCCGAGATGCAGCCTCAGCTTTAGTTGCGGCATTTTGATGACGAGTTGACATGACGAGCGACAATAACAATAATGATAATCTCACACGGGCTGTCCAATGATAATCATGATGGGGATGATGAGGACGATGATGATGATGATGGAGTTGAAGCTAAAGTTGCTGGCAGTGAGGCCTGCAACCGCCACCGACAACGGAAGCGACACAAACTGGCTATTAGTTGTTGGCCAAAATGGCACTTGTTCTAAAGCTATTAGCAACACACGAACAGGCTAGCAACATGTGCCTGCCAACTGGCAACTTGTTGCTGTAATTATTCTGCCATTTGTTGTTGCTGTTGCTAAATGGTAAACAATTTCAGCAGCCGCTTTCAGTATTTGGGTTAAGACCAAATAAAGGGGTGGCCAGCGGCCAGCGACCAGCTGGCCAAGTGTGTGACACAAATTCAATTTGTGAATGAAGCAGCCAAAACTAAACGCTCTCCGCACAAATGGTAATGCATGTAACTAGCTAACTTTTACCCATGCCAATTGCCCAAAACAAGGCACGCGAGAGAGTCAGTGTCGGGGGCTCCATGAACAGAGAGAGGGAGAGGGAGACAGAGAGAGGGGGAGAGCTACACACACACACACACTCACACACACTCACACTGGCTACCAAATGTCGGTCATGGGAAATTTGCAATAGGCGCTGGACAACTCCATGCCGGCTAGCTAGGGCCAATGGCAATGTATCATCATCAGCTACAGCCTCTTGACCAACAATGGGACGCCGTTGATATGCGTTATGAAAAATGCATGCAGGCTCTAACTCTGTGCCACCACGAGGCGGTGGCTCATGCGTGAATAGACGACCGACGGCCAACAAATGCAAATGTTTGCACAGCCGCCCGACATGGTGGGCCGGCAATGGCAACGGCGACTTAGACCCTGACTCTGACTCTGACTCCTCCTGGATGCGCACAAAGGGTAAGCACTTGACAGGCAACTGTTTAAGGTTGAAAAATTACACAGGCTGCGAGTGTTTGTGTGTGTGTGTGTGTGTGAGAGTGTGTGCGACTGCACCGCACTGTCTGTGGCAGCAGCATTGTGATTGTGCTGATTGTGGGCATGCGTGGCCAGCTGAGCAGTTGCCGCACTGCCGTGCCACAAAGTGTGCCCCCAGCTGCAACACAGCACACTAATATAAATGTATCGCCAGAGATGGAGCGCGGAAATTTACATTTTACAAAGGCAGCACAGCCACTCGCGGCCTCAATGGAGGGTGGGAAAATTTCACATGCGCAACATTTTGACAGTCGCCAAAGGGAGAGGCAAGCAATGGGGCAACGAGGCATCGAGGCATCGAGGCAGCGAGGCAAGCGAAATGCTTCGTTAGCATATGTATCAAAAGGTGTCTCTTGTCAGAGGAGCAGCTGTCGACTGTCTGCATTTTGAGATTTGTACCATGACCCACAAATATACATTGGCGCACGCATCTAACGACGACCCAGCAGCCATGTGTATGCCAGTAGATGACTGTGGATGCCTCTGGATGACTTGCTGACTGGCTGACTTGCTGGCTGGACTGGCTGAATGGCAATTTGCAACTGCAACTGTGCAACTATGCGGCTTTAATTGGATTCTGCTGTGGTATCAAATTGACATTTAGCACACAAGACCGAAACCGATCTACGTGCTTGCTCCATACGCCGTATGCCGATGTCCGATGTCCGATCAGTATGGCAGCAGGCAGCTGGCTGACCTAACCTCATGCGTTCAGTGCGATGCGGAGCGGCATGGTGGGGGGAGGGGGCAGAGGGGTTTGGGCAAAAGGTGGCAATCTGACTCGGTATCCGCATCTCTGTTGCCAATTGCAATTGCTGGCTTATCGCATTACACTTTGATTGCTGCTGCTGCTGTTGCTTCTGTTGTTGTTGTTCCTGTTGCTGCTGTTGCTGTTTGGCGTTAATTTGGTTTTGTGTTCTTGGACAGCCATTTAACGGTGCGGCAGCAATTGCAAATTGCATTTCTTCCAATGCCAATTGGCCGCCTTTGCCTTGTTGGTCACGTCAAAGTCAATTGTCATAAATCTGCAATTGCCGCGGGGCCCTCACACCTTGTTGTGTGTAAGAATGTGTGTGCGTGTTTGTGTGTCTGCCAATTGCCCATAGTGCAACGCAATAAACGCGCATAGTTTTGGCCAATTGCTGGCCAAATTGTTTGTGGCTTGAACTTGGCAGAACTTTGCCAGAACCCAGCGACCTGCAATGGCCACAGGAATGTTTTTAAGAAAAAATCCAAACGATAGATTTACATATCTGTGCCTAAGAAATGGGATTGGGAAGTTATGCCTGGGAGTGTGATCAACTTGAGCCAGCGCACAGCAGTTCAAGTGAAGCTAAAGTTGGCCTTACAAATGATCGACCTTGCAACAGCAGCAGCAGCTACAGCCAATTGAGGCGCAGTATTTGTGTCTTTGGCTTTGTGCAGAAAATTAATAAAGCTTTGGCCGCACGATTCGCAAACATAACGGTCTCTAGTGGCAAAGTCAGGGCAGCCAGGCTGGCAAACCGGCAGACCGACAGGGAGGCAAACAAGCGAACAAACAATCGCGCCAAATGTAAACTATGCCTCAGTCCGCGTCTCGGTCGCAGCCTCTCAGTCTTCGCTTGAGCCTGAGTCACTTGTCAGCTCTGTGGCGACGATGGCGACAATGCGGAAGCTGTTGCTGCTGCTCAAGCTGCCTGGCACGACAACAGCACGAGCAGCGTGCCCAGTACCGCCAACGCCAAAGACCAACATCAACAACATCAACAACAACAACAGCAGCAGCAGCAGCAGCAACAACAGCAACAACAACTCCAACTGCAGCTCGTAGGCAATTTGCCATTTTGGCTTCGCTTGGCCAACACTTGAACTGGATTAGTTGGCTGCCTGCTTTGATTTGTGACAAATCTTGATGCAAGCTACCGTGTGCTTGCCTGCAGCATGCAACTGCCACACCATGTGTGGACTTGGATGCTGCCGCTGATGCTGCCGCTGCTGCTGGTGTTGGGTCAGCCAGCAGATCGTGCGCTGATTTTGTGTTAGCTTCATTTTTTTCTTTGCTTTTTTTGTGTGCAGCTTGCCACAAATTTCTCTTTTTCTTGGGGTCAAGTTTGTTGCTAGGCAGAAGCGTTCTGATTTCACTCGCAGCCGCTGTTGCAGCTGCAGCTGCAGTCACTTAATTTAAGTTGGCGCGGTTTTTATCGCCAGCGATTTTGCTTAGTGCCAGGCTTTTATTTGCCTAATTAAAAGCAATAAAACATTATGATGCATTTGACTACGGCGCTCG